TTGAGGTGGCCGAGGCGGGGCAGGCAGCAGTGGACGGCGGCCGGCGGCTGCCAAGAGCTGGCGGTGTCTCCCGCCTCCTTTCCTCCTTTTTTTCCCTCGATCTCTCCAAGGCAGGAACCGTGAGCGGAAAGCACACTCCAGAAACAGATGGGATGGGAACTTTGGGAGCGTCTAGAAACAGACCCACAGCGGGGCTGGCAGGTGGCATGGCGGCGAAGGCGCTGGATTCCCACACGGCCTACCCTGGTTCTAATCCCAGACCTGATAGCTTGAAAATCACGCTGGGCACATCTGCATGCCCAAGACCCCAGGAAGAGAATGGAGGAGAAGGGATCGCGGCATGGCCATCCCCTGAGGGGTGATTTCTCACTTTCCCTCTTTCCTTCTCTGTCTCTGGCAAGTGCATTCACCCTCAGCAAACTCTACCCTTGCGCTGCAGCCCCCCCAAAAATAGAACACAGTGTAGGGAGCTGGAAACGGGGACAATGGCCCAGCCACACGGAGGCCCTGGGTTCAGATCTCAGGCCGCCTGAACAAGCCAGGTGCCCCTGTGACCCTGGCTGGCAGAAAGGCTGGAGCGGGTAGTTGCTGTGTGGTGAGACCTTTCTGAGGTCCCTGTTTCTCACCCTCTCTCACTCATGAGACAAATGAACAAACTTTATTTATTTAAAATTTGAACTTTTTCTTTAAGAATTATTTATTTTTAATTTTTATTTATTCATTCATTTATTTTCATTTGACCAGAGAGATACACACACAGAGAGAGAGAGAGAGAGGGAAGGTAAAAAAACAAGCCACCAGGTCCAGGATGTGAACCATAGTCAGCCATGGGGGAATGTCCAGTGCCTTAACCACCACGCCACCTGCTGGCCCAACAAGTTTATTTGTGTATTTTGTTTGCTACAGGGTACGTGCACTCATGGGGGGTAAAGGGCGAGTGAGAAAGGACCCCAGTAGGGATGGCCACGCCACGATCCTCCTTCATTCTCCTTTTGGGATTTTGGGCGCACACACACAGGTGCCTAGTGAGTTTTCCAACCTGCTGGGTCTGGGACTTGAAATGAATAGCTGGCCATGTGGGATCCAGCTTCACTTAACCACCCTGCCCCCAGTTGGCCCAACAAACAAATAAACTTGAATAAAACTAAACAAGTAGGGCCAGCATTACAGTAGTTAAGGGACCAAAATCCCGGGACCAGCAGCTGGCATAATGGTTATGTCGCTGGACTCCCATGTAGTCGACCACGGTTTGAGTCCTAGACCCGGTGGCTTAAATTCATGCCAGGCACATGTGCGTGCGTGCCCAAGATCCTGAGAGAAGAATGGAAGAGAAAGGATTGCGGCGTGGCCATCCCCTCTGGGGGAGTGACTTCTTGTTTTCTGTCTCTCTAGCAAGCACACATAGCATATAGCAAAAATCTCTTAAATAAACAAAAAAACCCACCTGGCCAACTGTGGTTCAAATCCTAGCCCTGGAGGCTCGAGAACCGTGTCAGGTGCGTGTGTGCGGAGAAGGGATGGCAATGCGACTAGTCCTGCTGGGGGTGAGGTGATTCCTCCCCTCTCTGGTGAGTGTATACGCACTCTGGCAGTTCACAAATTGACTTCTCTTTAAATAAAGCGATGCCAGCAGGTGGCGTGGTGGTTAAGGCACCAGACTCCCACGTAGCAGACCGCAGTTTGAGTCCTGGAGGCTTGCTTTCTCACTTTTTCTTTCTGGCGAATTAAAAATAATAATAAAAGGACCAGCAGTTGGCATAATGGCTATGTCGCTGGACTCCCATGTAGTTGACCATGGTTAGAGTCCTAGACCCAGTGGCTTAAAACTCACACCGGGCGCGTGTGCGTGCATGCTCAGGATCCCGAGAGGAGAATGGAGGAGAAGGGACTGAGGCGTGGCCATCCACGCTGTCTTTTGAACACATGCATCCTATAGCAAAAATCTCTCAAAAAAAACCTCAATAAATAAGTAAATTAATAAAAATTAAATAAATAATTCTTTCTTTCTCTTTTGGAAGAGTTTTTCTTTTTCTTTTTCTTTTTTTTTTTTTGCTATAGGGCACGTGCGCTTGCTAGAGAGGCAGAGAGACAGAAGGCAAGGAATCACCCCCAGGGGAGGTGAGATGGCTACACCACAATCCCCTCTCTTTTTCTTTTTTTTCATTTTTTACTTTTTAAATAATTACTTTAACTTTATTTGTTTATTTACTCATTTTAATTTGACGAGAAAGAGGAGAGAGAGAGAGAGAGAGAAAGCAAGCTGCCAGATCCAGGACTCGAATCACAGTCAGCCACATGAGGAATCCAGCATCCTTAACCACCATGCCACCTGCTGGCTCCAATCTCCTTTCCTTCATTCTCCTCTAAAAATTTTGGGCACACACGTGCACAAGCCCAGAGTGAGTTTTAAGCTACCAGGTCTGGGACTTGAACTGTGGTTGACTACATGGGAGTCCAGAAACATAACCATTATGCCATCTGCTATTCCCAATAAATAATTTTTTCTTTTTTAAAAAATAAAGAATTGTCTTACTTAAAATTTTTTTTTCTAAGAATTATTTATTTGAACTATTCATTCATTTTTCATTTTAATTTGACCAGAGAGACACAGAGAGAGAGGGAGAGTGAGAAAGCAAGCCACCAAGTCCAGGACTTGAACTGTGGTCAGCCATGTGGGAATGCCCAGCACCTTAACTACACCACCTGCCAGCCCCAAGAATTGTCTTATTTAACTTTATTTATTTTAATTTGACCAGAGAGGGACAGAGCAAGAGAGAGAGGGAAAGTGAGAAAACAAGTCACCAGTCCCGGGACTCGAACTGTGGTCGGCCATGTGGGAGCCCAGTGCCCTTAACCACCAAGCTACCTGCTGGTCCCAACCAATAAGTCACTCTTAAGAGAAAAATAACAATAAAATAAGTGAAGGGAAGACGGTGACCACAGAGAGCCTGCTGCCGGTCTGGTACCTACTCATTGGGTTCAAACACTTTCTCCTCCTTGAATTTCTCTCCCGCGAACTCGGTCCTTTTCCGGAGTCGCTCGGGCCTGCGGTAGGGCCCAGTCTGCCCCAGGACGCTCTCGTCGATTTCCTTCTTCACCGACTCCACGCCCTGCGAGAAGGGTGCAGCAGCCCATGTGGCGGGTGCCCAGGCTGGCCGCCCAGCTGCTCCGCCCCATCTTGCCCCGGCTCCGGCTCACCTGGGAGAGGGCTCTGAAGGCTGCGGTCCTGCCCAGCTTCTCCCCGCCCTTGGACACCGACTCGGCCGACTGCTTGGCCGTCTTGGCTGCCTCTTCCACACCCTCCTTGATCTTCCGGCCCAAGTCACTTTTACTGACTTCGTCAAGACTCTACTGAGACAGAGACAGAGACAGAGGGCTAGCTGTCGGCACAGCGCCAGGGGCCCGCAGGAACCAAGGCCCTGGAGCGAGACTGGACCTGCCCTTCCAAGGGCTGTGGGGAACTTGGCGCAGGAGCCCCGAGGCTCAGTCGCACACCTGAGAACGCTGCGTACGCCCTCTGCGGGTGCTGGGTCGGCTGGCCTCTCCCCGGCGTGGGCAGGAGTCCCAGGACTCTGGCCGCCCAGCATGGGTGAGACGGTACAATTGTGCCCAGCACCGGCCTGGGCTTGCAGCTCCTTCCGTGCCAGGCCCTGGCCTCCCGGGCAGAAACAAAGTACAAACAGGTGACAGGGCCGGCCCACAGCCTGCTGGTTAGGGAGCCGGAACCCACATGGCCGACTATGGTTCGAGCCCCGGCCCTGGGAGCTAAGAAAACAAGCTGGGAGCCTGTGTGTGTGCACCCCAAAACCCCAGAGGACAGAGAAACGGACAAGGGACTGAAGCGTGACCAAACACCGGAGGGTGCTCCCATCTCCTCACTGGTGTGTGCACATGACCAGTAATAATTAAGAACACCGGACTCCCACATGGCCGACTGAGGTTTAAATCCCGGACCTGGCGGCTTGCTTTCGCATGCTCTCTCTGTCTCTCTCTGGCCAAGTTAAAATAAATACATAAAGTTAAATAATTCTTAAAAAAAATAAAAATAAAAATAAAGAAAGTAAACAAAGGCTGGCAGGTGGTGTGGTGGTGGAGGCACTGGATCCCACATGGCCGACCGCGCAGCCCGAGTCTCAGACCTGGGACTTAAAAATCACTCCGGGCGCGCGTGTGTGCGTGCCCAAAATCCCGAGGAGCATGGAGAAGGTGGCGGAATGGCCATCCCCTCGAGCGCTTGATTTCTCTCTCTTTCTCTCTCTCTCTTGGTGTCAGCGTAAAGGCCCTTGGCCTAAACTAAAAAAAGAAAAGAAGAAAAAAAAAAAGAAAGCCCACTGTGCCCCCAGGAGGGCCTCGCTCTGGCCCCACCTTCACCTGGGGCGGAAGCACCTTCTCTCTCAGCACCACGCCCGGGTGGCCACCTCCGGTCGTTGTCAGCGGAGAGCGGCCCGGGGGGGCTCGCCCCCCCTGCCGCTGCCCGACAGGCGCCTGCGCTCGCCTACTCCCAGCCCCAACCACACCGGTCTCCCCAGGGCTTCGAGCCGTCCCACCAGGAGCCGACGCCATCCGTGCCTCGGGGCCCTCGAGTGGACTCTGCGGCGCGGGCACCAGCCCTTACCTCCTTCACGGACCCGGTCAGCTCGCCCAGCTTCTTCCTTATCACCTCGCCGGTCCGCACCGTTTCCGACTCGATGGATCTCTGAGGTAGAGAGCATTGTTTCTTTTTCATTCTGGGACAGCAATGAGACCTGCCTTACAGCTAAGCATCCAAAAACCACAGCCCCACCCCGGTCCCCACCCCGCCCGCATAGCCTGTTGGTGGGGCTGGGGCGGCACTTGTTGGCTGCCACTGCCCTGAGGACAGGAGCCCTGGCCCACGTCTCTCTAGGGGGACAGGAGGTGGCCCTGCCGGTCCTCCGGGGCCACGACCCTGAGCTCTCTGAACTGCCCTGGCCGTGCAGCACCCACCCGGCCTCCAGCAGCTGCAGCTACTCATGTGTCCCCAAATCCCAGCCCAGGCCTCTGTGACGGGCGGCATGAGCACCATCACACGGAGTCCTTGTGGGTGGGCGCTTCCACCCAGGCAGACACCCTGGGGATACGCAGAGGGGAAAGGCTGGACCGTGACCTGGCAGGGGCCGAGGGAACAAGACCAGGTCCAGAGGCTGGTGCCCGCATCTCTGGGGCTGAGCCCTCACTGGTGAAACAGGTTGCCCACCTCCGCGCAGGGTCCTTGCAGGGCACCCAAACAGAGGACGCCCCACCCAGTCCGTGGCTGGCGCTTGGCGGTTGCCCAAGGACAGACGGCCCCGGGAGTTAACAGAGACACTGCACGGTCGCCCTGTCCCTACTTCTCGCTCAGAGGCCTCCAGACGTCCCCAGGAGCAGCCATCTCAAGGCCAGTGAGCCGTGGGCCCCCTGGTGGGGGTCTGTGAAAATGCAGGTGCTGGTCTGATCACACAGGTCGGATCAGGTGAGCCCTGGAGGTGGCACAGGCCCTAGGGGAGCCAAGGGCGGGCCTGGAGACCTAGCTCTGAGCGGCAGAGAACGCTGCGTGTGTCACCGCAGATCTCACCCAGGTCCCCCCCCAGCGACCTCGCCCACCGCCCAGCCCTGAGCTAGCCGCATTTGCTGTCCCTGCCCAGGCAAACCCTGGCCCTCAGCAAGAGGGGCGCAGAGCGGAGACTCACGTATTTCCTGCGGGCTTCCTGGAGTGCGTCGGACTCTTCCAGCTTCTTGGCCTCGTCTCGGAACTTCTTTATACTTTCTTTCATTTCTTTGTTTTTGGCTAACTCTTGTTTGATATTATCTAGCAAGCCGGACAGAAAGCCTTTTCTGTTTCCGGAAGAATAGGATTTGGACTAGAGAGAACACGAAAGACCGAATTAGAGGACAGACTTGAAGGACATAAACTGGCCGTGATCAAAGGGGGCCGGGTGGGATTACAGAATCTTTCTCCAGGCCAGTAGGTGGCGTAGTGGTTACAGTGCTGGACTCCCACAGGGCCAACACCAGTCCCAGACCTGACGGCTTGAAAATCACACCAGGCATGCACGTACGTGTGCCCAAAATCCCAGGAGAGGGATGGAGAAGGCACTGCAGCGTGGCTATCCCTCCTGGGAGGTAATTTCTCACTTCTGCTCTGTCTGTCTCCCTGATGAGCATGCGTACCCTACAGCAAAAACCGTAAAAATAAATAAATAGGGGCCGGCAGGTGGCGTGGTGGTTAAGGGCGCTGGATTTTCACGTGGCCGACCGCAGTTACAGTCCCAGACCCGGTAGCTTGCTTTCTCGCTCTCACTCTCTCTCACTTTCTCACTATGTCCCTCTCTGGTCAAATTTTTAAAAATAAATAAATAAACTAAAAAAGCTATGTAAAATAATTCTTTTTTTTTTTTAAAAAAAGTGGCTGCTGGGTGCCAGTGGGTGGTGTAGTGGTTGAGGCACTCTGACCGCAGTTCAAGTCCCAGACCTGGCGGCTTATTTTATCTTTCCCTTTCTCTCTGGTCAAATTAACGAAT